ATAAAATCAGGATCATATCAAAAAAAAATCAAGAGAAGTGTAAAACTCTTCAATATGTCATCAAAATCCATTAAAAATATTTTAAGAATATTTGATGATGTTTGGGTTGATATGGAGTAATTTAATGTGTTTAAGTAACTAAAGAGAATCCAAAATAGCTTAGACATAGATTCCTAAAGAGTCAAAAAAAAAATGAGTAGAGTATTTGGGAATAAATCTTAAATTTTCGAAATGATGGTTGCTGCTGTTTTTTTTTCCTGTAATACGGAGTATTGAGTTTTTTTTTTTAAAGGAGAGAAAAAAAATACTCATGCCTCGCCTGAGATGGGAATCGAACACGGGTGAAGAACCAAACTACCTCATCCTATTTCCGTTTCTACTACTTCAATTCTATTGACATAATTGGGTTTTGTGTTTACTAATATCTTAAATACGTGAATTGTCCAATTAACAACTTTACACATAATTTTAATCAAATTGGTTCCTACATCAATTGGTACTTCTAAAAATTTATTCTAACAATATAATTACTTCTTAAAATTTTAAACTAATGGTTTTAAAAAAAATTATTTCTAAATTATCAAATTGAATCATTAAAGTTTACTAATCATATAATGAATTTTTTTTTTAGGCCCTATTTTGGGATGTTACACAAGTCTTTAGAACAACACTCAAATGAGATTGAGTTTACAACACAAGAATGAAAGCTCACACAATTGAGCAAAGTAGTGTTCAAGGATTAAAGCTCTATGGATGACAACTTCTCTAGCACTCAAAAAATATTTCTAACTCTCAAAAATAATATTTGATGAGGAAGATGAAAGGGTATATTAGAGTGCAAGAGTAGTGTAGAAATGAAGGAGAATGAGGGATTAAATAGGCTAAGGAAAATAAAAGATCCGTTGGAGCAGATTGAGAATAGACACCAGACAATATTAATCGATTAAGGTAAAGCCTTTAATCGATTAAGGTGTACAGAAGCAAAAAGGTCTTCTGCGCAGGTTGAAAATTAATCGATTAAATTTGACAAAATAATCGATTAGATGGCGCTGTCTCAACTAATCGATTAAATGAAGAATAAAAATCGATTAAACTAAAAGCCTGAGAAATCCAGCGCTAAGGAGCTGGATCTAATTGATTAAAAAGAAACTGTTAATCGATTAAATAGAGAATAATGCGCAAAACACAAAGGGCCCAAGCCAGTTGCGATAAGAAGTGAATTGGCTTATATTCGTTTGTTTGAGACAAGAACGCTCCTCAAGAGAAAGTATCCTTTATTCAAAGAATTTGAATAGGGGAGAAAAAGTGAGTCCAAAAATTATTTTGTGTGTCAAACGATGTATACGAAAAATATTTAAAGTATATTTTTCTTACCAAAAAAAATTTGTGTATTCTTAAAAAATGTTTTTAAGAAATGTTGACACACTTATTTTGAAACTGACTCAGTAAAATATTTTTAGACAGAGGAAAAGTAATTTTTCAACTGACTTAGAAAATAATAATTTTTATCCCTTGAAAAAAATAATTTGTTTGTGCAGAAAGTATTGTCATCCTTACAGAGATTCTTAGACTCAAGTAAAAGAAATCTTCGGAGTCTTCACTTCACTTCAAGAACTTCTGCGTAGGGGTAAGCCTTGATTTTATCTTGATACGCCTCTTTGCTTTTCTCGATACGAAAATAAATTTTCGATCAGCTTGAAATTAATCATCCTGTTTGTCATTCATCAAAACAAAAAAAAATATTCCAGAAGAAATAGTAAAGGGGTTTGAACTCATGTTCAGCAATTTCCCCCTTTTTGATAATGACAAACATATTTGAGAAAGAGCAAAGTAATGTTGGCCATGAATGCCGTACCCCGTAAGCGTTTTGATGTGCCAAATAAGTCTTCCAAATGCTACTAACATCATTTGCAGGAAGAAACCAAACGTCAAACCTCTATTAGCTTGTTTAGCATCACCGAGATATACTCCTGCGAGTTTAGAAATTATTGTGTAAAGGTAATAATATATATTTTAATGATATATTTATGCCCTTTCACTCAAAAATTAATTTTAAATGTCAAATATATTCTAAGTTGGGGTCATTTTGAGAACGGAACACGAAAAACGAGTTTTGGAAAATTTACACTGGCCTAACGGTACCAGGCTACCGTGTACACGGCACCAGGATACCGCCGGTAGCCAAGTGAACGTACCGTAGCACGTTTCACTGAAGAGGTACACGGTACCCCCTACCGTGTAACGGTACCTTGGTACCGGACGGAAGGCTGAGACGTATGGTTACCCCCGTCCTAACCAGGTACCGCCAGAGGCGAACCAAACTTTAGGCATACACGGTACCCCCAAACGGTAGGCTATACCGTGGGTCACGGTACCTAGGTACCGGACGGCACTGACCCTACCGTGAAGGGTACCGGATCCGTTGGCAGCACTGTAGCAAATTGCCAATTTAAATTCAAATCACCCCTAATCACTTCCTAACGGCATTTAACGTCAAAAACTTAAATTTTAACATTCCAAACTCCTATATAAACCCCCTTTAAGCCTCATTTTAAA